TATTTCACTTATGTTTTCAAAATTTATCCATGTGATGGGATGTATCATAATTTTTTTTTACAGAAAAATAAAGAAATGTTTATCCATGCATCTGTTGATTGACATTGGATTTTTTTCCACTTTTTGGTTATTATATAAAATTCTAAAAACACTTATTTAAGAATCTGCCTGGATTCTTACTTTTGATTTTTTTGGATTTATATCTACGAGTGCAATTTCTGGATCATACGGTAATTCTATGTATAACTTTTTGAGGAACCAACAAACTTTTCCAAAGCAGCTTCATCATTTCACATTCCCACTTGGCAGGGTTCAGGAATTCCAAATTTTCTCTATATCCTCACCAGTACATTTTATATTCTGTTTTTTACTTCATTTTTGTAATCCTAATTGGTATGAAGTGGTACCTCACTGTAGTTTTTTGTTTGGTACTGGGGATTAAACCCTGGGGTGCTTAATCACTGAGCCACATCCCCAGCCATATATATAATATAAATTATATATACATAATAATATATATTGTTATATATATAGTATTGCCTAGCATGCACTCAGGGCCTTGTGCATGCTAGGCAAGCATTCTGCCAACTGAACTATATCCCCAGCCCCTACTTAAGTTTTTTTTTTTTTAACCATTTTGAATTAATTTTTAATGTATGGAGTTAGGTATATTATAAATAATATATATTGTTATTATTATTAAAGATAAGATCTCACTGAGTTGCTAAGTGCCTCGCTAAGTTGCTAAGACTGGCTTTGAACTCATGCTCCTCCTGACTCAGCCTCCCGAGCCATGCTAGGCAAGCTCTCTGCTACTGAGTTCCCCAGCTCCTACCTTTAGTGGGTATTCTTTATTGGGGGTGGGAGGTACTTGGGATTGAACCCAGGGGCACTTTACCACTGATCTACATCCTCAGCTCTTTTAATTTTTTTTTTTTTTTTTGAGACAACTCACTAAGTTGCCAAGACTGGCCTCAAACTTGTGATCCTCCTGTCTCAGCCTCCCAAGTCATTGAGATCACAGACATGTGTCACTGTACCTAGACCCTACTTTTTTTTTTCTGGTGGTGCTGGGGATTGAACTCAGGGCCTTGTGCATGCTAGGCAAGCACTCTGCCAACTGAACTACATCCCTACTTAAGGTTTTTTTTTTTTTTTTCTTTTAACCATTTTGAATTAATTTTTATGTATGGGGTTAGGTAGTGTTCCAACCTCATTCTTTTGCATATGATCATTCAGTTGTTCCAATATGCACTATTGAGAAGACTATTCTTTCCCCCATTGAATTGTCTTGTCACCCTATATATACTGAACATAAATGTAAGGGTTTATTTCAATACTCCTTATTCTGTTCCACTGATGTATATGCCTATTCTTATGCCACTCTGTTGAAGGTACTGTTGGTCTGTATTAAGTGAAGTATGAGTCATCCAGTTTTGTTCTTTTTCAAGATTGTTTTGTCTATTCTGGATCCCTTGAATATCCATATGAATTTTAGAGCCAGCTTGTCAATTTCTACAAAGAAACCAGCTAGGATTTTGAGAAGTATTTTGTTAAATCTGTAGATCAAGTTTACCATCTTAATAGTGTCTTCCAATCCATGAATATGGGGTTTCTTTCGATTTATTTAGGTTTTAGGGTTTTTTTTTTAACAACATTTTATAGTTTTTATTATTTATTTATTTTTTTTTTTTAAAAAAAATTTTATTTATTTATTTTTAGTTTTCAGCGGACACAACATCTTTGTATGTGGTGCTGAGGATCGAACCCGGGCCGCACGCATGCCAGGCGAGCACACTACCGCTTGAGCCACATCCCCAGCCCCAATTTTATAGTTTTTAGAATGTACAGTTTTTATTTTTTTTTGGTCAAATTTGTTCCTAACTATGTTTGTTATTGTTTTTTTTTTGATGCTATTGTAAATGAAGTTGGTTTCTTCTTAATTTCTTTTTGGTTGTTACTACTATACAGAAATAATTGATTTTTTATATGTTGATCTGCAAATATGTTGGACTCATTCTGTTAGTTCTAATAGTTTTTCAATTAATTCCTTAGACTTTTCTATAAATTTTTTCATACATAAAAGCACAGCACCTTTATCCAACCAAATCTATACTTAGAGAGCATCTCAGGAAACCAAGCTTTAAGGGTATTAAAACCCAGAAGTGAAGGACTAGGTTTCTGGAGCCCTTGACAAATTGAGCTTATAGTTACTATGAAGCCTTATAGTTATTATGAAGTAAGGAATTTCAATTTCCAGTTGGGAGCACATATAGACACACATATATAATCCTAGTGACTCAGGAGGCTGAAGCAGGTTTGAGGCTAGCCTCAGCAACTTAATGAGACCCTGTCTGAAAATAAAAAGGAAGGACTAAGACTGTCGCTCCGTGGTAAAGTGTCCCTGAATTCAATCCCCAGTACTGGGAAAAAAAATTTAAAAAGAAATTTCAATTCCCTCCTTTATTGACAGCAAAAGTTTAGGGTACCGAATCTCAGAAAGACTCAAGACATTTTTCAAGACTCAGGTATGGGTTTCACTTAATCTGGTTGTCCCACAGGTAGTATTAAATATTGAGATCTCCTCAGGTCCATTTTTTTTAATATTTATTTTTTAGAAGTAGTTGGACACAATAACTTTATTTTATTTATTTATTTTTATGTGGTGCTGAGGAGCAAACCCAGGGCCTCGCACATGCTAGTCGAGCATTCTACCACTGAGCCACAATCTCAGCTCTCCTCAGATCCATTTAGTCCCAGAAATTTAGTACAGTTCTTGGTGTGGAGTAACTACTCAATAAATGCTGGCTAAAGGAATGAACAAATAAATGAATTGGAATGAATTATGTGATAGTTTTTCCAATCAGACTGTGAATACATATTTTGGGAACATACTTTGGTCATATTTTTGTCTCTAGCACCTAGTACAATACCCATCACAAAATGAATGTGTTCTAAATGCTGTTTATTAAATTGTAGGCAAGAGATAAATACTTTATTCCAAAAATACAAGGAAGGAAAAAGAAAACATACTTTTTATATCATGTAAACTTATACCAAAGACTTGTGAATTGGAGTGGAAAACACAGAAATTTCTACCTTGAGGATATAAAAGAACTTGGGAACTGAGAAGTCAGATCACCTTAGTCCCCTATGGTGGTTAAAGCTAACTAGTCCCAGTGAATGAGAATCTAGCCTACCCAAAGATCACCAGCCTCTATCAGTACAGCATCAGCTCTAGACAACACAGTCAAGGCAGGCTGTGATCACATCTCACCTATGTACATTCCTCCAAGGAAATTCCTCCTGTGGCCCAAATAAAATGGCCTTGCATATAGAGAAAGAAAGTAGTAGGGTTGTCACTGAGTAGAATAATTAAACAGACAATCTCAGGGTCACCACATCTGCTTCAAGCGGTCCACCTACTCCCTTCCAAAATACATCATTATATTGCACCATCATAGAAGGAATGGAAGAAAAGGATGAGACTGTATGGTGGGAATCACATCTTGGGGAAGCTGGCCAGGTTGGCAATACCACAGGCGTTGTTCTTATTCCGAGCCATGAGAATGTAGCCTTTGTTTCCCCAGTTCTCTCCCCAGCTGTAAGATCAATCAAGAAAAATACTTATTACCATCAGTTTATTTATTCTTTAAGACACTTACTATATTGTGCTAGGTACTTGAAAACGTACAAAAATAAAAATGAGTAAGATGGTTTTTACCTTTAAAGATAAGTTTAAAGTAAGAAGTGGAGCGATAATGTTATCCATCCCAAAGGTAGACTAGATTACTTATGATCAAGAGGATGTAGAGAGTTTGATGTACAAAGTGGCATTTGAGACTGTGCTGAAAAGCTGGGTAGAATTTGGACCTGTGGGAATGGGTTGCCAGTGGAGGTGTGAAATTAACAATAGAGACAAGAAATGTGTTAGGATCAAGTGACTGAAAAACAAAGTGCCTGACAGAGTGTAGTGGGAGATAGGTCTGGAAAGGTAGTTGGAAATCAGGTTGAATTATCAACTGAAAGTGAGTTAGATTTACTGAGACAAGAAAGACTGAGGCCAGTGATCTTGAACTGGGAGTAAATTCCAAAGATAAGATGGATGAAACTACAAGAGCAGACGAGATTACTGAGGAAAGGAGCTGGTTATTTGTGCTGCTTTATGTCATGGTTAGTTAAGTCAGTCTTTCTTTTTCAGTTGTGAGTAAATGTCACTGAAGGCAGACATTTACTCATTTGTACATGGGACTAAGCATCTTGCATATGGAGCAGGTAATCAACATATATTTTAGCACTACTGTCTCAATGTTAGCTTCAGAATCAAGAATCTCTGAGAAGGTAGAACTAAAGAACCTGAGATAATTTTCTATTGATTTGGGAGAAATAAAAAAATATCCAGAAGCTGGAGATTAGTTTGAGTATCATAAGAGTGATTTAATGATAGAGATAGTGTCCCCATCATTACCTGTTTTTAATTATCCAGTGCTTCTTTCCCTTCTGGATCCCGTATCCCACTGCCAAAACTGCATGGTTCAGATTATCACTATTGCAGCTTTCATCATAATACACACCTAGGAAACAAACTGCCAAGATGAGACTCTGCAATCCAAGAGCTGCCCAGTAGGGTCTCATTCTAGGAGACTCTAGGATTCTGTCCCAATTAAGAAGGTTTACAACAGAGATGGCTTTACATTGTGACAGCTGTCAGTTTTTCTCTAGTAGACTGAGTCTGGATATGAAAACTTAAGTATTGAAAATGCTCAGGATCCTTTAAGAAGTCACCAAGCCCATCATAAAAGAGTGTTCTATAGGCGCTGCTTCTTACCTTTGCTGTAAAATTGGAAGGAGGTCAGGCTTGCATCAATGGCCACAGAAATAGGTCCCACTCGGGCCACTGCTCTCTTCAGAGCTTTCTCATTCCCTGCAGGGATCTCTCTGTACCCTTTGCATTTAGCTGCCTTGCCTGTTGGGTTGTACATACAGTTTTCCTCCTGGAAAGAAACAGTTTGTAATAGGACTAGGACCAAGCATTAGGGAATGAGTTGGGGAGTGAGAAACTTAACCAGTGTTCTGAGTAATGTCAATGAACTAAGAAGGGCAGCAGACTAGAATCTCTAGGTCTGTTCCTCTTTACCATGTTAGAAAGCTATGAAAACTGGATTGCTACCTTCTGCCACTCATAAACATCAACTCTAGGGAGTTAAAGACATAAGGAAAAACTATAGAACTTAAGAAAGAGAGACTGTTTTTATTATACCAGGGTATGAAAAGATTTCTGAAATAAGATAATGATGATAATTTGGAGATATGGGAATTGAACCCAGTGACACTCTAGCACTGAGCTACATCCCCAGTTCTTTTGAGTTTGAGGCAGGGTCTCACTATGTTGCCCTGGCTGGCCTTGAACTTGAGATCCTCCTGCTCAGTCTCTTGAGTATCTGGAATTACAGGTGTGCACCTACCATGCCCAGCTCGAAATAAGATTTATTTTTTATAAAGCACAAATCATCTTTTGGCTATGTAGTATGTGTGAGCCTCAGAGTACAGGAGGTACCAGATGCTCTGTGGGGAAAAGGCCAAGGCCAAAGCTCAGTTAGAAGGAGAACTTGGGACCTCTGAATCTGTATCAGGGAACCTAGTGCGAAGCAGAATTTTGGCTGGACCTTTGTGCAAATATTTAAAAAGTATATAACACAGTACTAAAATAGATTAATAGCAGCAATTTAGTTTATGACCTCCCAACACCACATTTTGCAAATCTAATTAGGAATTTTTTTTAATATATATATTTTTTTAGTTGTCTATGGGCCTTTATTTTTATTTATTTATTTATTTGTATGCAGTGCTGAGACTCAAACCCAGTGTCTCACACATGCTAGGCAAGTGCTCTAACACTGAGCGACAACCCCAGCCCAGCAATATGTTTTATTGTTAAGCCACAATTATGGAGTCTAATGGCAACATATCTTCCTACAAACTATTCCTTCAAAATCTTAAGTTATATCTATAAAAAGAATGTATTGTCTAAATATTAAAGTAATGGGAGCATTTGATATGATATTCTAAGATTACTGTGGTCTACTGCCTTAATGATTTATTGAGAGCCCTTTGTTCTCTCCCATGTGATTCAAATCCATGATGCTTCCTGGTGTCAAAATTGCACATATTAGGCTAGGAATGTAACTCTAATAGAGAGTTTGCCTAGCATTCATGAGGCCTTCGGCTCAATCCCCAGCATCACCAAAAAAAAAAAAAAAACAACAAACAAACAAACAAAAAAAAACACACACAGATTTATATATAAGTAAAACAGAATATTTTGACACGGACTCCAAAAGACATCAGGTGATGATGCACTAAAGTCAGAAAAATCTGCAATGTGACTGGAATAGCTTTGTTACTGTCCTTTAAAATATTCCTCTCTGGGCCTCTCTCTCATATAGAGAGATGGCCTTTATTTGTCAGCTCTGATAAATTAACTCTCGTGTGTATCTCTGCTTGGTCTCCATCTTTCATTTCTCGCTTACCCAGCTCCCATTCCTTGGCTTTTCCTTCACATGGGATTTCTTTTTCATTTTTTAAATTTTTTTTAGTTGCCAATGGACCTTTATTTTATTTACTTACATGCAGTGCTGAGAATTGAACCCAGTGCCTCACACATGCTAGGCAAGTACTCTACCAACTGAGCTTTCCCTCTTTCTTTTTAAAGGCATTAGACAGGTTTATTTAGGAAAATAGATACACATGAAACAGTGGTCTACTTCATGTTTGATATACAGCCCTTGCTGCTCTGCCACTGCAACTTTTTAAAAAATGGACATATTTCTTTCTCTTCCTCCCTCCCTGCTCTTCCCTAATCTCTCCCCACTTGTCCCTTAGGGAAATAGGATTACCTTCCTTCCCTATTTTAGGCATGAGTTATCTGTCCCTGATAACTCACCAAAGGAACAAAGAAATTCAGACTTTGGGGATGGTACCAGAAGATCTCAGAAATGACCTTCTCCCAAATTATCAAGTGAATACCTTCTCCCAAATTATCAAGTGAATTACAACTCTGACGGAGAACATGGGGGGAAGCCTTTGAATCACTTCTTTGGAACCCCTGCTTCTCGTGGTGGGCAAAATCACAGCCTTTGGGACAGGAGCTCCCTGTGTTTCTCCTTTGCCGGCAAAGCAATAAATCTTCGTTTTTCTTTTTCTCAGAAAAAAAAAAAAATTCTTATATGGCTGCTACCCATCAGATCACTTCTTTAATTTTTTTTTAATCTCCCCTCCATTCATTCACAAGCTCATTTGAGAAGAAAAATTACTTTGGGTTTGGACAATAACTGCTTTTAGAAACTGTAAAGTCCAAGCAAAAGTCAGACTATGAAAAAATGGAATTTGTGTCTTCACACAAATTGTCTGGTTAAGTCTTCATTTTAACTGATAAAAAGGCCAACTTTATTCCACATTGCTGTAAAATGATGAAGAAATTATTTGAGGGTGAAGGAAAACAGAAATTAAAAGTCAAATTTTCCTTTCATTCCAAAATAGAGTTTAAAGTATTTTATAATTTTCATTTAAATTATTTAGAGTATCCAAGCCATTCATTAAACCATTTCTTAACAAACAGATTAATATAATGTAAATGATGCAAGTTTTCAGTGGATGAACTATTAGTTCTGGTAGTATTTATTTGTTTCTAATATTGTGACATATAACTTTAAATTAGCTGTGAATTATAAAGATGCAGAAAATCATACAAACAAATTTGTTTTCTGCATATACCATTGGAATTTCTTTCCTTTCTTCTTTCCTCCTTCCTTCACTCCTTTCTCTTTTTTTAATAGCATATGAGAACAAAAAGTTAAGACCACGCTCAGGTTATCTCACTAAATGATGATGTAGTCAGAATTAAAAAGCTAATCTATTATGGTAACTTTAGTATCCTTTGCCTTCGTTCAAGTTCATATATGGACTTGGATGGGAACTATCAGTTCTGGAAATTATATATGGATTAAAGACTTTTTATTTTATTATTATCATTATTTATTTATTTGGCACACTAGGGATTGAACCTAAGACCTCATACATGCTAGGCAAGTATGCTAATGCTGAGGTACATCCCCAGCCCTTTTGGAAATTTTATTTTGAGACAGAGTCTCACTAAGTTGCCCAGGCTGACCTCAAACTTGAAATCCTCCTGCCTCCACCTCCCAGAGAGTAGAATTACAGGTGTGCACCACTGTGCCCTGCTCAGACTTTCTTTTCCAGGTACACTTCCATTTTCTTTGCCTTCTATGTCTGACAACTGAAAAATCATAACATAGAATGATTATGGAATAAAATCAACAAAATAAAGCACTGTTTTGATGTGGCCATTTTCATGAGGATATATCAAAGTAGGTTGTTGAAGATCCATGAAAATGGGTTTCTATAGTCATTCATATTAAATGAGCACTTTATTGCAGTAAATATTTCAAATGACAACATATGAATAAAAAAACTTGGTGCATTAGGTTTTTTAGAGACATAAATTGCAAAGAAATAATTAATAATTTTACTACATAAAAAATTAACTTTCCTAGATTGAAAGACATCATAAAAAGAATAAAAAGACAAACCTTGACTTACAACACATACAGAATTAGTATCTAAATATCTTTTTGAAGTTCATAAAAATCAGTAACAGCTGGGCATAGTGATGTACATCTGTAATCCCAGTGGCTCAGCAGGCTGAGGCAGGAGGATCATGAGGTCAAAGCCAGCCTCAGCAACTTAGTGAGGCCCTAGGCAACTCAGTGAGACCTTGTTTCTAAACAAATACAAAAAAGGGCTGGAGATGTGGCTCAGTGGGTATTATTTAGTATTGGGTTTAAGCCCCAATACCAAATAATAATAATAATAATAATAATAATAATAATAATAATAATAATAATAATAAAAGTAAATTAAAAATTTAAAAAATCAGTAGCAAAGATAAAACACCATCCAATTTAAATACTTTCTTTTGACAGTATACATTTTTCAAATACTTTGATAAATAATTTGATATTATGAGCTGGTCTTGGTGGTATGTGACTGTAATCCCAGGCAGGAGAATTGTAAATTCAACACCACCCTCAGCAATTTAGCAAGATCCTGTCTCAAAATAAAAAATAAAAAGGGCTGAATGTGTAGTTCAGTGATAAAGCACCTCTGGGCTCAATATTTAGTACTGGGAAAAGAATTGACATTATGTAATAAAGTTAAATATATACACACCCTGAGGCCCAGACAATTCTGTTCCAAAGTACTTTATCCAGTACAAAATTCTTATAAATGTGCATGGAAGACTTATCTAGGAAAGTTTACATCAGATAAAAGACCTGGCTGATAAAGCTTGTCTTTACTACATTCTAGTGGTATGAATTTGAGTAGGTTCATCTCCTTAAATATTAAATTCCTCACCTTTAAAGTGAGAACAAGTCTATCTTACAGAGCTCTTATGCAGATCAAAAGAAAATGTACTAGGGATACAGCTTAACACATAATAGTTATCATTTTCATTGTTCAAACTTGCTATCTTTTCTGCAAAGTCTCCATGGCAAAAGCCCTTATTATGTTATCTATCAGCCCAATGAATATTTAAAAAACCCTCAGATTGCCTTCTTTTTAGGCAAGAAAGATCTCCTTCCTATTACTAAAGAATCATGTAGGAGGAAATGAGCTAATTCTTTATCTCTAAAATAAATATAATGCAACTTGATTTGTTGTCTCATTTTATATGTTAGCATGTTAACTTACATAATTTTCTTAAAACCCCACTGAGATCATATAAACTAAAGCCACATGATCATAAAAATAGCATGGTGGGTTTCTGAGTTTATTTGTAGGAATGCAGATTTTATCAGAGGGTTACAGAGACCTGCTTAGAGTTCTATGGAATAATATCCTCTTTTTATAGCTATGGTATCTTAAGCTCCCAAAGTTCTCCCATCTTGTAGGAATCTTCTTGGCCTTCTGTGGGAAATTATCCCTTTAACTCATTTAGTTGCAATCTTTCAATTCTGTGAATATTTCAACAAAATTGACACAGGTGCATTAAAATAGGTTAGAAATAATAATCTAGAGTTTCTATATTATTATATTAACATTATAATATAGGCACTATATTATAATACAATTATATTATACTTAAATTATTATATAATCAAAATATACTATTATATATTTTATGCTATATTTAAGTTTTTTTTAGGTATTCCACACTGGGGCCAAAGCGACAAAAGAGGTTAAGAAAGCAGAATAGTACAAAATAAAACAAGATTTCTCGAGTTGTTTCCAATTAAAAAAAAATAATAATAATGTTAGGGAAAAAGGAACCCTTACAGAGCTGTATAACTGTACCAAGCAGTCTCACCTGTCCCACATATGGGTAGGCATCTTCAGAGTCAATACCGTGGTTCTTCTGCACGTATTGGAAGGCATTGGTCATGTAGCCCCCTCCACAGCCATCATTCTCAGACACACAATCCACCAGATTCTGGGGACTCAGATTTAAGAGTCTGCCAGTTTTCTTCTTGAGTTGACCCTCCAGGGCACCCACAGAGCTAAAAGCCCAACAGGAACCACACTGACCCTGAGAGGCATATAGAGCAACTTATGAGTCATTCCTGGTCACACATTCTATATCTTGTATCTACCTGCCTGATGAAATTTCATGCATTTCATAAGTTCTGACACAAACATTGCCATTGTTGTGAGGTCTATCTATTCTCCTTCATTTAACATTTGTTGCATTATTCTATTGCTATTGATGCTATGATAACAGTTATTATGATTAGCTGCCATAGAACAGAGAAAATAGCATACTGGCTTTGGAGGTAGGTCTCCTGGGTTCTAACCCTAGCTTTGCACCCACTAATTATGTGACCTTGGGTAAATTACTAAATCTATATGTGCTTCAGTTTCATCTGGAAAATATGCATAATAGCATACTTAATGGAAGTGTTTTGGGATTAATAGATTTAAGTCATATAATAATTTATAAGTTTCTTACTCATAGTAATCCCTCAAAAAGTGCTAGTTATTATTAGTATTTGTTCTGCTAGGTTGCAGTTTTTCTTCTTTCCTGCTCTTTCTAAAATGGAGAATTTCTTGAGGACACAGCTTGTGTCTTAGCCATCTCGAATCTATTGCCCAGCACTGTGATGGGATCCAAGGGGGTGGTATATGTAAATGAGTGTTAAGTCAAGTGTTCATCTTATTGATAACAATCCTCTGTTAAGGTTATGGGAAAGCTGACATTTTCATGCTAATAAGAATATAAAATTGTAAAAACATTTTTGGAAAGGATTCCAAAAACTGTGACCTAGCAATTACAATTTTAGGATTTATTTTGTATAACTATTTCTAACATGTGCACAAAAATACATGCATGAGAATGTTTATTGCAATACTATTTATAATAAGCCCCAGAAGCAACCTAAATATTCAAAAATAGGTGATGAGTTAAATAACAGGCTACATTCTCTTAGTATGAGATATACCTTAATTCTTTGTCCCCTCTTCATCGTGTCCTCCTATCTTGACAACAAAACAGGAGAAAAAGGGACAGATCATGCCAGATTACTTACACATACCCCAAAAGAAGAGTACCTGATTTTTCACAGGAGTGACATAACCTTTCTTTCGGTAGTCAATGGAGTCTGGGGCTCTGCCTTCCCAGTCTGGGATGTAAAGGGTGTCATTACTTTGAGAATGAAATGGGGGTACTTTGAGTCCAGTCATCTTCTGAACCACTTCTTCACTGGTCTGAGACAAAGAAGAAAGAAGCCAAGCTTTAGCAGGGAACTAAGGCAAAAATGGCAGGTAGGCCAAGAGCTGAGACTCAACTCACCATATCCCCCAAGTGGTTCATGGCCAATTCATATGTATGGACACCAAGAGAGGCCTCAAGATTATGGATGGAAATATACTTTAGGTTTTTTTCCCAAATTAAACGCCGAGAGATTTCATCCACCTAAACAGAGCATAGTCAGTACTTGCATAGACTGTATGCAAATTTATATAGGTGATATTGTGAAGAAAAGATGCAACTTACAATTACAAGGGGTTTACAATGTACTTGGGGAACTAACTATGAATTATTAAGAGCATGCAAACAGTAAGATGGGAGCAAATCAAACAATACAATGTAAAGCTATGGAGAAATCTATAGAAATATTACTCAGATTAATAGCATTAAATCTGACAAGTCTTCCCAAAAGACAAATATAAGACAGTCACACTACTTTTCTTTTCTTGTGGTACAGAGAATTGAAGCCAGGCAGTTATAAAGCTAGGAAGGATAGGTCTTGATAGATTGTGAGTTGAGGCACCAAAATGAGAATCACATGTTAAGAGTTAGGGGTCAGGTTTGCTTGGTTGGAGTAAAGTACAGTATTTGGATTGAAGAAGGGAGTCTGGAAGCTAAGACAGGAAATCTCAGGTTCCAGCTCTCCTGCCATGCTCCCTTTGGGTTCCCAGGCACCTTGCCATTATACTGTTTCCTGTAGGTCTTCTTCCATAGCTCCCATTGGGTGTCCAGTATCTCCTCAGGATACAGAGCAAAGCTCACCATGGGTAACAGCAGAAGCTTGAGCCCCCACATCCTGGGGAAGGGAATAATTAGGGGAGACACTTCCATTTGGCATAAGTTCACAGCCTGGCTTGGAGTGTGGAAAATAGCTAGAGCCATATTTCCACCAGGTGGCTTAACCTTCTAGAAGTCATAGATGACTCCTTTGAACTTCCAGCTGCCAGCACTAATCATTTCTCTCACCAGAAAAATGCATGCACACACAACAATCCTAGGGGATTCATGAACCCAAAGATAGAACCCCTTCCTTGGAACCATGTGGCACAGGGAAACTTGGCTCTATAAGGGAGGTCAGCAAGGAACTGAGAGTGATCTTTATATAATAGAACAATGACAAGAGGAGGCTAGGTTTCCATCAGGTGCTGGTATGTAAGTTCTAAGTATTCTGACATAGGGAGATTCAACCAACATTCACATGCACACTTGTACAATCAGAAATGGAGTGGAAATTGGACGAGTGGGTTCAGCATTTGTTTTCTTCATTGTCCTCTACAAGTTTGAAGATGGACAAATTAAGTGCAAAGTGAGAATGGGTTGGAGAATACACATAGGAGAGATTTCCAGCTACATTTTGCTTCCTAATCATTTCTTCAAGGCATTCATTACTTACTTGCCTTAATTCTGAGTTTTCCAGATCTTGTCAGGAGGGGACAAGGGAAAAGTTGATAGCATTTCCTTATTTAACAATGAGATGTTTACTGTCTCCTCACTCTCCTTATGCATTTCTTCTTCCTTGCTCATACCCCCTCCCTCCATAGACCGGAAACTGACCTAATTTTAACCAGATGTTCGTGGGTAGGTTTTCTTTTCTTTTTCCAACAGTGAAAAATCTCTGTGACTACCTCACAGTGCAAAAGGATCAGAATCAAAGTTAGAGTGCAGGATGGAAAAGCATTTTCAATGATGATTAAATCCACAGCATTTCAGAAGTAAAGTTTCACTCCTTTCTTGAACTGGCTTAATTGCAGATCTTTCAGTTCTAAGAAGTTTGCAGTCTCTAGGAATTCTAAGACTTGCATGAACTAAATGCATAGTCCGTTTTTATGTAATCTTTACAAATCCGTGTTAAATTTCTAGCAGAGCATTTAATAGCTAGAGAATTAAAAAGTTTGGGGATGTCTCAGAGCAGAAATACCCAGTTACTGGTACCACTCCTCCTCAATTCTCTGTAGTCAATTAACCCTTTTGGGCAAAGCAAAAACGCTCTAGAAGCTATTTTAAAGAATGGGTAAAGGATTCCCTATTTTTTTTCTTTTTTGCTTTTAAGAACAATCATGTATGCATATATACGAATAATACAAGGAATCCTAAAGATTTCCAGACAGATTTTATTTGTCAAGGAGAAGAACTAAGAAGGGCATGTTTTCAATATGCAGAGATTATACAGTTTACTTTCATCTCCAACTCACTACATCCCTAATACTCTCAAAATAAAGAAGTGGCAGAAATGATAAGCTAAAAAAATCTAGAAAGTAAAAAATTTTACCTGCTGCTGGGAATCTGCTGTCTGGGCTCCTTTCAGACAGGAAGTGTCGCTAATGTGGGTGGAAGACTAGGAGTGCTAGATTTATTCCATCAGGATTGCGGAAGTCAGCTCTAGCGGTTGGCTGGAAAATTTGGATGAGGAAAGGAGGCGGGAATAGAAATGTTGAGAAAAGGGGGGTTAGGGTGAAAGGAAGGAGGAAGCAGATTTGCACATTTCTGTGTGCAGTGTAGTATGCTAGGGTGGAGAGCTGCTAGGTAGGTGTTGAGTTTCACATGACTCTCTGGAGGCAGAGAAAAGACATCAGTACACACTACTCTAGTAAAGGGGCTTACCTTTTCCTTTGCTGGGGAAATGGATGTATAACCCTGATCTTCCCTCACCTTTCTTTAAAATCCTTTAATATCGAGGGATTGCATCGTTCCCTACCCTTGTTATGACCCACCTCCCTAAAATCCTAACAGTGAAACCTATTTTCAAATTTGTGTCTGATCCTCACCTCTGGGATGATGGAAGAAACACAAAAGGCTAGAAATAAATAACATAAGGAGAGACATAAGCTTCAAAATTGTATTTTATGATATTGTTGGTTAAAAGGCATCATGTTTTCCAGGCGGGAATAGCTTTCCTAGCCTAATGTGATTTTGCAGAGGGAGGATCTGCCCAGAAAGTTAGATGGAACTGGTTCTAAAAGGCAGCAGAAACAATACTCCTAGTTATTTATAACACTTGAATCAACGGACTGATGGACTCACATGTGACATTATTGCTAAAACTCTCAGATGGTGGATGTCTGATGAGCATGTCTCAATTATTAAAATCCCCAATCCAGTCACATGAGCTTCTCCAAATGCTTCCCCCAAATCCAGGCATGTGACAGATCATAAGAGTCTAATTCAGTTACCAAACCACACCCCCAAGATCCATTTTCTTCCATAAACAGATGTGGGGAAAGAGGGTCACTGGAATAGAAAGGATAATACATGGGATTCAGATTCAGTTCTTAGCTGGATTCCACACACTTATTCTCAAGAACTCAGGCTTATTGTGCCTCTGGATTTTAAAAGTGGCTAATGAACCACATGGTCCTAGGGAAAAACCAGGCCCAGACTTGAACAGTTTAGATTTCCCAATTCCTCACTCCCCCCACCCCCCCAAAGACATACTGGAAAAGGCATCCATATATGTGCCCTAATGGTTTCAAGTCCTAACTCTTCCCCTTTCCCCCACAGGCTTGGGCAACTCCACCCCCACCCAATGTGGTCAGAATGTCTCTGATAAATTTTACTCAAAATGTGTCAAGATCAGGAGGGCAAGTGAGGAGGAGGGGTGCTGAGTGATCAGGGCCCTATGATTTCTGATTCCTGAAATTAAAGACACACTGTGCTTTATGCTTGTGTGTTTGAAGCTCAAGCAGTGGCTCCCTTTAGTTGTGGGTGTCTGTTGGTTTCTGACCGGAAAGGAATAATAAAGCCGCAATCAAGATCACACAACACAAGAAATTTTTACAAAAGGAAAAAATATTTTGTTTTAAAATATTTGCTACATGTCGTCATTTTTGCCACTGTAAGGCTTAGCACAGATGCCAGCAATACAGAAATGGCCAACAAAGGAAAAAAAAAACAATCAAAAATAAAACCCTGAAGGAAAAGCAGAAACAAAACCCCCAGAGCATCTTCTCCCTGCCCTCCCCTTCCCCCAAGGCCCTATAATAACTGTACAATATTATAGTCCTGATCACATTTAAAAACAGTCGATTATTAAAAAACAAGGATTCCATTGGAAACTCAACTTTTTGGTTTTGTAAATTGTGATATAAATATATATGTATACTGTATGTGTGCACATAGAATAAAAAAATAAACTGTCTCCTTTCCATCCCACCATCTGGCACCAGACTGAAGACAAAAGGGAGAGACACCCAGGAAATGACATTCCCTCAGCCTCTACAAGGCCACCTTTGATCCTCAGTCCTCTAAGAATACACTTAATATGTCTTCACTTCTTATTTCTGTCTTGCACTTAGATAACAACTGAAGCCAATTAAAAAACAAAAAGGCTAATATATATGACTTACCTGAGGAAGGCAAAGGGTGAGAGTAGTAGCCTATTTTTATATGGCTATAATGACCAACTAATCCTGCTGGGATAGGAGTCCAGGCCCCACCTAACACATGGAGTTATCATACTTGCATTCTAAAGCAAAATCCAATCTCAAGATTGGAAAGGGAACAGAGAGAAAAGAACTATAGGCCCAGGAGGAACCTAAATTTGTTTCTTATTATATGGAATATTTTGAGGATGACATGGAAGAGGCTTCTTTACAATAGGACTTTGTATTTGGTTTTCATTCCAACAGTGAGGATTTTCACTGGGACTAATCCAAGAAGTTGAGTTTCCATGCAGAAAATAAGCTCCATAGAATACACATAATGTGTGATTCTGACAGAAAATTGCAGCATTATCTGTATGGCCAAGTCTGGGGTTTCTGGAAGCGTTTGTCAGCCTATTTCAGTAATGTTTGCCAATCTTCCAGATAAGGTGAGAGCACCAAAAGCGGGAGTAATCCAGCTTTATCACTGAACACGTTTGAGAGACCAACCATATTAACAGAAGACTTTGCCTATAGTTGCATATTAGCTGAGCACAGATATAAGTGCAGCAAAGACATTTATTTAAACACTCTTTGGCTGCAATACTAAGTGAAAATACCTGGAAGATTTATCTTCTTAGAACTCATTGAAGAGCACAAAGATAAAAATCTGACAAATTTTGCATAACTCCCTAATAGGGAGAAAGAAATACAGAAACGTGTGCACCACATATATACACACACTGAGACACATATACATACATAAACACTCACTCAATCTCACGTTTCTCTCCAGAGGAATTGCTCACAGGTAGCAGAAAGGGCCTATGTTCACTTCCCAAAGCCCCATATATACCTACCATGTTTCATGTCCTCAAATATGAGGACATTTCTCCTCTCCTTGAATTTCTTTCCAAAAAAGCCACAGTGTATCCAAGGCAAGTAATGGACATCAGGTTCTAACCTGCACCTTAACCCTAGCACAAATCATTGTTGTTTACCTTCTGGTCAAGAGACACAAGAAAAGGCATTCTAACCTTGCCTAGCCTCAAATTTTCAAAGGGTCATAAAAGCCTTGGGGATTCATTTCATTTCTTCTATAACTGTTACCTCAGAGAGGCAAGAGAAGGAGAGGGCAAGGAAATCCCAGAAGGGAAAGGGGTATCCCTTAGGGGTGAGGGAAGGGAAGGGGGAGGAACTTTTATTCTGTTTACAAAAGTTTTGCTTTTAAAAAACAAACAGTGATTTTTCTCCCCCACCCCTTATCCTCACCCCAATAGTTCTATTCTGAAAAGGAGGGAAACATAGTTAGATCAGGAAATTCTTCATTGTTGTAACTGTTGCTTTGGTCTCCCAGCATGGACAGCATCTCCTACGGAGAGAAAATTTAAAAAATTAAGATTGGGTTACATACCCTTACGTTCACTGAGATGCCTCCTAATATTCCTCTGTACTCTATCCCTGACCCCAAAAGGTCTCTGCTGTGCTAAGTTTTCAGCCTTCCTTATTCTCAGCAACTGGTTCCTTTAGATTACAGACTTTTTTTCCTGGTCCAGTCTCTGTCTTCCCCTACACTTGCACATTTTCCTTTTTCTAGTCTTCAATATTTTCAAGAGGAGAAAAATATGCTTGCCACATTTCATACACCCACTAAAGATATAAATGGAGTGTCTCTCATCCTATTTGTTTTCCACCAAAAGCTGTTTTGCCTTCTTCAATCTGTGCTTTACATTAGCCCTTCCTTTGTCTGAGGCAGGTGGATTGCAAGTTGATGACCTGAGCAATTAGTGAGACCCTGTCTCAAAATAAAAAATTCAAAAGGCTGGGGCTTTGGCTTCACTGGTAAACCACCCCTAGATTCACTCCCCATTACAAAAAAAAAAAAAAGCAAAGAAGCAGTTTGTCACTGATCTGTTTTCTAGTACTATGAAACATGAGTACGTGAGCTAAGGAATAGTTTCTCTTGATAAATAAACTTTGAACAAATATTGAAAAAAGAAAAGAAAAACTGAAATTATCCCAAAATTTTATCCATGGCTCTCTCGTGGTAGAATTATGACTCTTATTTAGAAGTTGAGGAAATGTTATTTCATGTCTTTGAAAACTCCACTCATTCTGCAGAAATAGACCTTTAGAGCTATATTTAGTATTTCTATTTCATACACTTAAAAAAAATTGTTCTGCCTATTTTAAACCCAAAGCTACTATGAAATAAAGATATAGATCTTCATGGATGAGCTAAAATAATTTTCTTTGGCATCTTTGCATAGTGCTTCACATAACTATTTTGTCTAGTCTCTTTAAAGGATATCACACTAAGTTCAAGATGTTCTCAATTACTAACACTAAACCCTCCCTGTCTTCTCCCATACACCTTCTGCCTACACATCAACCAAGGCATTCTTCCTTCTCCATCTTTCCTTCTTGACCCTCTCTCTCTTTCCCATTTTCTGATTTTCTGAAGTCTTCACCCTCTCACCTGGAAGACCTCAGGCTGGCTAGGTTGTTGTGCTGAAGGCTGCTGAACATGTTGCTCGCTAGAACTTGAACGATGATGAGGTTGCTGGCCTTGCCACTGTGGCCAGACACTCACACCCTCTGCTGTCCGTGTCTGGAATTGTCCTGCAGTCTGTCCAGTCTCAGGAGCTAGAAACACAGTAAAAATAAACAACTTCAATCTACTAATTTTCTACTGGAGAAGAAAAACTAGTACATAGCTAAACGCAAGTCAGTAATTTCACTTGGGTTTTCTTCTGTCCTTGAGTTTATCAATGTCTTTTCTAGGGCTGGGGATGTGGCTCAAGCGGTAGCGTGCTCGCCTGGCATGCGTGCGGCCCAGGTTCGATACTCAGCACCACATACCAACAAAGATGTTGTGTCCGCCGAGAACTAAAAATAAATAAATTAAAAAAAAAAAAAAAAATGTCTTTTCTATTTCAAAATCCAGTCGCCAATTAACTTTTCTTCTTTAGATAGCTCTTTCCAAAGAGCACTTTGATTATTTAGATTAAATATGCATGCCATTATATGCATATGCTTTTTAAAAATTATATAGTAAAATCTGTGTAAAATTAAAATATTTTGCATGGTTTTGTTATATGTGCTAATGTATTTTTCATGTAGGTAGGTAATTAGGTCAGTATATCCAGGACACAAGCAAACCATTTTAACTACAAAATCCGCTCTTTCTCTTTAGTGGTAAAGTCTTTCTGTCATCCTTCTTCTGGTCTGAACTTACCAAAGTTGGATCCACGACTGGTTAGAGTAGGATAGGTGGCAGCACCGGGTGATGCAGTAGGAGCACCAGAAAGCGACATGGGGCTGAATGAGGATGAAGTCTGAAAGTTGCCCACACCAAATTGGGAAGAACGAGTTTTGGCTCCAGCCTGAGTAGCCACCTGCTAAAGACAGAAGACATAGAGAACAAAAAATGAAATATTATTATTACATATGTTGCTTCTTTTTTTTTAGTTGTAGTTGGACACAATACCTTCATTTTATTTATTTATTTTATGTGGTGCTGAGGATCGAACCCAGGTAAGCGCTCTCCTGCTGAGCCACAACCCCAGCCCTACATATGTCATTTCTTAGAAGTCATACTCTGCCAATCACTACATTCATCTGAATAAATTTCATACTTATTTTCAGCTGTGTATTTCTTCTGCTTAACTCCCAATCCTTGACACTATTTTTTATGCAGCTGAGATAAAATTGCAAAAAAAATGCATTTAATAAAGCTGTGAAAATTAAATAAAAGCACTTTATAAACTGTAAAGTTAAACAAAATGAGTCATTAATAAGCCACATATACACATAAAAAAGCATTTAAAAAATCTTTTTAGTTGTAGATGGATAGCACAGCATTAAAAAAAATAATAATAAAATAATAAAGGTATGCTAAGGATCGAACCTAGTGCCTCACACATGCTAGGTAAGTGCTCTGCCACTGAGCTACGACTCCAGCCCCTAAAAAAAAATTGATATCCTTTTATTTTTCAGTCTGTTCTGCATGTACTTGTTCGTAATGTCTTTTCTTTCCTTTTCTTTTTAAATTTTTTTTCCCTCCAAGTGCTGGAGATAAAACTCAGGGCCTTTTGTGATAGGCTAGTGCTCTAGCAATGAGCTACATCCCCAGCCCTAAACAATTTTTTCTCCTTAGAATAGTAATGCACATGCATTGTGAAATATTTAAAAAGAAGGAAAATAAGAATTAATCAAAATAAGAATCATAATTCTACCACAAGAGAGCCATGGTTAACATTTTTGGATAATTCTAGTTTTTCTTTTTCTCTTTTAATACTTGTTCAAAGTTTATTTATCAAGAGAAACTATTACTTAGCTCACATACTCATGCTTCAGAGTACTGGAAAACAGATCAATGACAAACTGCTTCTTTGCTTTTTGTAATGGGGAGTGAATCCAGGGGTGCTTTACCAGTGAAGCCAAAGCCCCAGCCTTTTGAATTTTTTGAGACAGGGTCTCACTAAGTTGCTCAGGTCCTCAACTTTGCAATCCTCCTGCCTCAGCCTGCTGAGTTGCTAGGATTACAGGCATGCACCACTGCACCTAGTTCAGAGACAAACTTTGTGAAACTCAATCCAAAGAGATTATTTATTTCCAAAATATTTTGCACTTATGACACCAGCCTTTATTTCCTCAAAATCTTTCATGAAGTCACAATATCTATAGAAATCTTCAAATACATCTTTCTTGGTTCTGTCACAGCAAACTTATAGAGAGCTGCAACCCTCAGGAGATAATGAATGCTCAAATAATAGGACATCCCAGAGGCATGGCTTTCTTGGTCTCATCAAAGTACTGGAAACCACGGTAGTAATTATCCTCAGTACCAGTGTCCTTGGCTGATGGAGATGCCTTTGGTATATTTTTCACACAGTTGAGATTACAATGCAAAAACAATTTTGGAGTATGCTTTTTTTTTTTTTTACTTCATTAAAATATTATATACTATAAACATAATAATATAATAAAGGATATTTGCTTTAGGCTTAACATTTATTATGTATTATACCCATGGATATTATATAAGGATTTTTCCTTTTTGTAAGTAGACATCACTATATAAAATTAGCAATTTTCTCCTTTGTTCCTATATCATGTAGTTCTAAACAAAGAGAAAACTTCTTTGAATTTACTTCAAAATAAATCTAAAAATCAAACCTGCTCTAAATGTTCTACATGAACAATTCCAATTTATCTTTAAATTGAAAACTATGGACTCTAATGAGGTTTTTGGATTATCTGTGTTTTAATTATCTAGCTGCTCTTAAGAAAATCAGAAGGTATGCCAGGTATGGTAATCCTATAATCCCAGCAGCTCGGGAGGCTGAGGCAGGAGGATAGCAAGTTCAAAGCCAGCCTCAGCAACTTAGTGAGGTCCTAAGCAACTTAGTGAGACTCTGATTCAAAATAAAAACTAAAAAGAACTGAGGATATGGCTCAGTGGTTGAGCACTCCTGGGTTCATTTCCTGGCACCAAAAAAAAAGAAACAAAGAAAAAAGAAAATTTACATATGGAAAAAACCCATCTAAACTAAAATGAACACATAAGCACAAAAAGCTGAGAAGATTTACCTGGGTAGAGAAGCCTGGGCGGGTGCTAGGGGTCCAAGTTGGGGCTGCTCCTTGGGTAGGATTGGAGTGGCGGGAAATCTGGGCCAACATTTGCCCTGCAGAAGATGATGGCTGGACAATGGTTACAGGAGGGGCCAGACCACTATTCCTAGGAGTGAACAAATGATGAAGTAAAGTATTAAAA